GAAAACCTACTGTGAAAATTATCACTGGTACAGGATCTGATCCAGCGTCATGTGGATAATGTCTGCATGGCTTGAGTGTTCTCAGAGGAACATCTCATGAAAATCCTGCCTGGGATGCCAGTTTGCTCCACGGTACCATCGCACTGAGGAAGGACATGTCGACGTGGATTATTGGATTCCTAAAGAGGATGTGAGAGGTGTCTGCACGAGTTCTCTGTGACCAGTGTCTCTGGGGAAGCCCAAGTGAGCATCTGTGAAGATTCCCTGTGAAGATTCCATGTGGTGTGTCCTGGAAAGTTTCCATGTGAGCTCAGTTTAGGAGGATCTATGAGGAGGGGCAGCTGTGTTTGGGCACTCTACAGGGTCTCTAGGAAGTCTTGGTGGAAGTTCTAGAATGCCCTATGAAAAATCTCTGTGGTGGACTCAGTATCAGTGTTTGTGGGGGCACAGGCTGTCTCTCAGCGGTCTGTGTGAGATGTCTCTGAGTGCTTTCTCTGTAGGAGATCTCTTCAGAGGTTCATTGGAAGGTGTCTGAATGTCTGCACTATAAGCTGTACTACAACTTCTGGGGACTGAGGCACATAAGTACAAAACAGTGTGCTCCTCCCTGCACTCTGCCTGGCCCATATGTATACTCAGCATTTCCTCTCAGGAGCACTGCAGTACAATTCCAGGTTCTCTGCATTCCAGAACATTCTTCATGGTGTGCCGAAAACTCAGCAGCAGTCAAGTATAGCCCCTCCTGAAGTTGGGGTTTCCAGGAGGGACAACCACTTTCTTCGTAACCTCCCATGGACAGGGCCACTTTCTTCTTAGCTTCCTATGCATAGGGCCACTTTCTGCTCCAGAAACCATTCCCTCCTGTGAGTACTGGTTCCACTTTTATGGCTGGGCATCTCTGTAGGTTTAAATAAGACTCCAGGTCCTTGAGAGAGAACCTGGCTTTGCAGAAGCTGATAGCACTCACAGTCAAAAAGGAAGTACTCTAGTAAGAAATAGCTGCTCCTCTCCTTGTCTTTTATGTCATTCTGCTTTCCTATAAAGACACTGTCCCAGAGGAAGTGAAACACATGCTAGAAGCAGAGAGAAAGCAGATATTTTCGTGAACACGTGCTCCTCAGTCATTTGCATGGGCCGCTTCCAGCGCTGTGTCTATACACTTTGTGTAATGCCATTTCCCCCTGTGATCTCTGGAGTAAACGAGGCCAGGGACTCAGGGAAGCCATCCTGGGTGACCTCAGGGCTGCCTCTTGACATTTCTCAGTCACCCAAACTCAGAAACCATCTTGGTTCTGTACACATTAGCTATAGAAAGGCCATCAAATTTCAGATCAGCTTCCATTGTCTGAGCTTATTTCCTCCTCCTGAGTTTGAGGTGGGCAAGGAGGAACTTATCAAATATACTGAATCAGTCCCTGCTGTTTGTCTTGCCCCATCTTGCTTCTGGCCTTTGATGTGGAAGTGAAAGGTGGTTTCTCCAAGTCTGTTTGATCTGAGCAGCTGGGCTCTGAGGTGGGGCCAGGGTGAACCACTCAGCCCAAGGCTTTTCCTTTCTGTGCTGGTAGATGTCAGCCAAACTTGTTCCCTGGATGATTCAGTATCCTCGTGCCCTGTGCGTGCTTCCCTGGCTGCAGGTTTTCCAGCACTTCCATCTGCCCTCAGTCTGCAGTGCCTGATTGTACATTCCTTCTGACAGGCACGTTGTGCTCGCTGCACCCAGGACAGCAGCCTGGAGGTAAGATAGATGTGAGATTAGCTAAGGTAGTGGACGAGAGAGCAGGGCCATTGCATACTTGCTGACCATGAGGCCATGGCCTTCAAGGGTGTCATTGAAGACTCCTTTCCCAGGGTTCTACACTGAGCTGGATCTTCTGTCTTTTTCAGGGCTCTAGACCATAGGGAGGACTAGAGCCCAAGAATGGGGTCACTGAAGTTCCCATATGGCTGATCTGAGGGTGCCTGTGCCCATCCTGGCCTTTGCCAGAAAAAGAAGGGCCTGTCCCAGGGCAGGTGTCATCTATTCCCCAGGAAGAGATGCAGGGCAAAATTGGTCTGGTTTCAGAACCAAGACCCAGATCCTCTCTTGCCCTCTGTTGCCCACTGTAGGACCGATGTACCTGTGGCTCTACCCTTGCTGGAACCTATGGGAAGAATTTTCACCATAAAATGTCCCTGCCCCTGATCCCCACAGCTACCTTTAGAGGGAGCTGTGGAAAGAGGGGCTGAAGTGGATTTTATGGTGGGATCATCCTATATCCCTTAGCTGAAAGGGTTTCATTTTGTTCCTGAAATGACTGTTAGTGAATCTTGAGTTCCCGGCAAGAACTCCAGGTAGAGCAGGTTAGACTCTGTACTGCTCCACCACATCCCTTCCCCTGTACATGCCAGCAACCTCACTGAGATCAGAGCAGGCAGAAGCCATTGCCCTCTTAGGAGGGAAAACAGGTTTATTGGGCAATGGTAATTTTCGTGAGTGAGAAATGTGATCTTTTTTTTTTTTTTTTTTTTTTTTTATTTTTTTTTTTTTGTAAATGAACTTAATTTTTTTCTTCGAAGTGCATTTTTCTATGAAGAAGAAAGGGTGGAAAATTTTCTGACAGCACACACAGGACACCTCTCAAGAATCTTTCCTTCAGGCACTGGTATGGCACTGAGGCCCTGGAACTGTTGGACACCTCTGTGCAGGACTGGATGGGAACACAGGCCGATTAGAGAGCACCATTACACCAGGCTCGTGAGAGTGCTTCTGGCCCTGTTAACCAATGAGCAGTCCAGTGTTCGGGCATGCTTGGTTACTTCTGTGCCTCTCCACTGTAGGAGAGCCAAGGCATTTGGAGGTGGCTGCCCATCCCAGCTTTCTCCTACACCCTGAGGATCCAGAAGACCAGGAAACATGGAGCTCTGAAACTTGGTCTTTGTGCTGCATTAGCTCCCAGTCATAAAGTTCACGCATAGCTAACTTGTTTGTGCCTGCATCAGTTCAGCATCTCGGATGAGCTTCTGATTCTCAGCAAGTTCACGCTCCACACTTGAACCACTTCTGGCTGGGCTCTGGCTCTGAGCAGAGGAGGCTTCAAGCTTGCCTTTCTGCTGGAATGCTTTGTGCCCTTCAGTATTTTTTCTTGAGAGAAATCCATAGTAAAAATGTCTTCATTCTTCTGTGGAAGTCTTCTTCCAAAGTAACTGATTTGTTTGGGAAATGTTTTTGCAATTTTTTCCAGGCAAGGGTGTCTTTCATTGCCCTGCGTTGGGTGGATATGGAGGTCCCTATGTAATCCTGTTTTTCTTGTGGTCTCCAAGTGACCTCATACTTGCCAGCCAGGGAATACACTTTGCTCTGTCCCTACTATGAGTACTGCTATTTCAGGATCCTTGGCTTCTGTTGCTGTAGGCTTGTATCTCTGTCTCCCTTTAGATGACCTAACAACTGTGAAGCTAACACGTCCTCAAGACCTGCTGTATAGATGGCCCTGGGATGCCACAAAAGATGAACTGTTTGCATCTTCAAGCAAATAGCGGAAGAGTGTGGAAGGTGCATATCAGGGGCACAGATTTCTGTCCAGTTTGAGGGGCCCTTAAGGGGCCGTGGGCATCAATAGGTGGGTACTGTGTTAGGATCCTTTCATACTCCTTACAGTTGAGGAGTCCAGGAGGCAGCTCAGTATGTGGACTAATTCATTGAATGTCACCTCCTCTGTCAGACCTGCTAAAGGTGCTTGTTCCAGGAATGTGGCATCCTCCATGGTAGAGGCCCCTGAGGACACACGTGTGGGTGAGGTAGGCAGGGAAAGTCTGGAAGCAAGGCTGGTGGACCCTTATTCCACTTAAGCAGCTATATGTCCATAAGAAGCTTAAGGGGAAGGCCCCAGTTGTGTCTTACCCAAGCCCTTGTAACATGCACCACCAGGATCTTCTCAGCACCTGGATGTGGACAGGGAAGCTTCTGGGTGGTGCTTACACAGGGTTTTTGACTTCTGAACATGACTAGATTCTTCCTCTGTGTGGCTGGGCAAG